TAAATCTATTATTCAGTGGCAAGGAGCAGAGCGTTCGGGGCAGCAATATTAATTTGTATCAAATATAACGTTAAACGGTGGTTCTAATACATTTTTTGATATTATTAACCAGAGTACATACATTATATGGTATTTCTTTCCAAAATTAATGTACTATATGAACTTTTTCTTCAAATATTTCTTAAGTTTCTTTCATGAGTGCTGAAAAGCAACCATGCGTGTAAGAAATTGTGTGCTACCTAAAATTTCACCTCTGGAAACTTTATCCCCCTAAAGGACTTCACCACAGTTTTTTTACTGGATATACTGAGATAGCCAATTAAAAATTTTCAAGAACAGATTCGGGCTCTATGAAACAAATCTTATAAAGATCGGCTGTAATATTTTAGTCAACATACATTTCTTTGTCCTGTGTTATGTTCTCTTNTCGGGCTCTATGAAACAAATCTTATAAAGATCGGCTGTAATATTTTAGTCAACATACATTTCTTTGTCCTGTGTTATGTTCTCTTATGAAGGTTTGAGCTTGAATCTCAGCCTCTTTAGAAATTTTCAGTGCCTCAGATTCATTTAACACATGTGATCAAAAACAGGTAAAACAAGAGTTAAAAAAAATCGTGCGTACTCGTATCAAAAAAAAATGTTTCCAATTGCTTTCAGAGTTCGGACCATAATTTTTTGATTTTGAGTATTAAAGGGCAGTGTTTAAGCTTTCATATCCTCCGACACAGACAGATATGTTGCATCAATTTATTGTTTTACAGAAGCTAGAAAATATCCAAAAACGCGTTTTCGGCACTTTTAAACCTAAGTTTCTTGAAAAGTAGAGCCAATTTAATATCTTTACAGCTGAGATTTTTTATGGGTATTTTATTAGAAATGTTAAAATATTGCTATCAAAAATTTATAATAATTTACCTCATTAATTTTTCTCTTTTTAACCGACTTCAAAAAAAGGAGGAGGTTATCAATTCATCGGAATATATTTTATGTATGTTACCGCATAATTTTGGACCACATTAACCGATTTCCCATACTAAATAGATTATTACTATTAAGAAATTGTTATTATTAAGAAATTAACGGTACTTCTAAATTTGTATATGAAAATTGAAGTCGGTTCTGTTTTTTGCTTAAAACTTANTATGTTTACTCATCCAATTTCGTGAGTAGGTACCTGGTACTCAAACCTTTTTTAAGAAGTTTCACTTCTATCATGTGTACGGTGTTACACACGCATTTTTTTTTGTAACAAATGAGTTGTACCGAGCCCTACAAAAAAAATTTATATTGCATAAAGTTTATTATGAACTTATTGAAGAGTTAAAACCAGCGTTGCCGAATTGACGATTTCGTCGTCATTTTGACGTTTTTTAGCTCAATGACGATTTGACGATTTTCCCCCGTAATAACGATTTTTGCCCCGAAATGGCGATTTTTATACATTTCATGAGCATGAAATGGTATTATAACTTTGGTCCGATGTTTGTAAGTACCAGAACAAAAAGAGATAGACCCATTAAAATGTATACTTATATGATCAGAACGTCGAGCTGAGTTGATTTAGCCATGTCCGTCTGTCCGTCTGTCCGTCTGTTCGTCTGTCTGTCTGTTTGTATGCAATCTAGTCTCTCAGTTTTCGAGATATCCGGATCAAATTTGGTAGGTGGGTGTATTTTTATAATGTATTAATCATTTGTCGGAACCGGAAGAATCGGACCACTATAACATATAGCTCCCATACAACTGATTGTTCAGATATGAGATTTTTCATTATAACTTCTCCATTTATGCAGCTACGAACATGAAATTTTGCAATACTTGCACCCATTATCAACAGAATACTTACAGTGAAAATTACAAAGATCGGGTCACTATAACCTATAGCTCCCATACAACTGATTGTTCAGATATAAGATTTTTCGTTATAATTCATCCATTTATGTAGCTAGGACCATGAAATTTCGCGCTGTTTTCACTCATTATCAACAGAAGACTTACAGTGAAAATAACAAAGATCGGGTCACTATAACCTGCAGCCCCCATACAACTGATTGTTCAGATATGAGGTCTTTTATCATAACTCCTCCATTTATGCAGCTAGGAACATGAAATTTCGCACCATTTTCACTCATTATTAACAGAATACTTACAGTGAAAATAACAAGGATCGGATGACTACAACATATATCTTCCATACATCTGATTGTTCAGATATGGGATTTTACTGTAAAACTCCTTTATTTGAACAGCTAAAACCGATAAATTTCGTAAGATATTTTATAAATAATAATACAAAGTCTACTGAGAAAATCGTCAAAATCTATGCTGTATAAGCTTTATCTCCTATAGCACTGATTGTTCAGATACCAGTTTTTGCCATATATCTCCTTTATGTAGGAAACTAAACCCAATAAATTGTGTTACCGGTTTACATACCGATCACATAGCAGTGAAAATCACTTAGATTGGTGCCATATAAAGTATATCTTCCATACCTCTGATTGTTTAGATGCGATTTTTTATATAAGTATGTAACTCCTCTATCGATGTATGCAGATGTATTCAAAAGCAGTAATCTGTCAAAGTAAAATTTGCAGATGTTCATGAAAGGTATGAAGCCTTCGGCATAGCCGAAGATAGCGCTGCTATTACTTGTTTATTTTAGTTTTTCCACTAAATTACAAATGTATGTATGTAAAAAATTTGTTTCAGGAAAACGTAATCCAAACTACAACCATAAATTTATCTAGTTTTGTTCTAAAGCCGTGCTTTTAGTTATATAAAATTTGTTCTAGAATTGTAACGAAATATGTAGTTAATTTACAATGCTGTCACTGGTTTGAAAGAGACAGAAAAGTAGGAGAGGGAATTAGTTCAGTCAAACTTATCTATTAGTTAGTAAATGCTAATGTTACACTAAGGGTATTCACATCCATTTTGGTAGTTTTGGTAAATTGCTGGTTGACCCTCGGTAATTGTATCAACTGTGAACGTCCTGTTCAGTTTTCTTTTGTTAGTTTGGTAAACTATGTTTATTAACAGCGGATTCGTAGGTTTTTTCCTAAAAAGAAAAAAAAAAATTGTAACAGAAAATTTAAGGAATTTTACTTGCTCATATGCGTTATACTTTTCGGCAGCGGGCGGATTTAAAATAGCATAAATATCGAACAGCTGATTGCTGTTTACTAACTACCAGAAAATCAATCTTCCTTCACGATAATTTACTAACCGGTACTCCAATAATGAAATAATTTATACAAACTAAATACATTGGGAAAAATTACCGAATACCGAGTACCAAGCTCGGTGTGAACACCCCTTCTTTAAAACTAGATCAAAATCTTTAATAACTTCAAACCAGTGGAGTTCAACTATTTAAAAGCAGTTGTGTTTTAAATTGTAATTTTAAATTGCCGTTAACAATTGCAAATCCACTATTATTAATCTATGTGCAATGTGGGTTCCATTTGGTTTTGTAATGGGTGGTCATATTTGTTGGGCCGTATGCATAAAATCTAAGCAAATGCTTTTTCTTAAAATTTCAGACCTTTTACTAAATTTTGTCAAATAAATTTAAGTTAAAGGTACGCAATTTTAAGAAAAAGCAATTGCTTAGTTTTTATGCATACGACTCATTGTATGTAATTCTTTTGTATTTTTTATTTTGTTAAAAAATACAATAAACAAAAATTTGACGGTATTTTGGCCGAAATTACGATTTTTTTATGGTAAAGAGACGCTTTCGGCAGCGCTGGTTAACACAAATTTGTTAGGTACCTTAATTGCACGCAAATTTTAAAATGCGACTTCGTCTTTACACAAAAATCGTAATTTTCTCATTATTTTTAACCGACTCCAAAAAACGAGGAGGTCATCTATTCGCCGAAATATTTTTTTAAGTATATATGTTACCGCATAACCGATTTCGATAATTATTTTTTAAAGGAGGTGGTCCCATTGTAATTTGTTTAGATCCGATTATCAAATCATGAAAAAACTAACGGTAATCTTAAAGTTTTACATGAGAATTGAAGTCGGTTTGGTTTTTTGCTAAAAAGTTACTTCTTTATTATTATAAATTGTTTTAGTAATGATTTCATTTTTGTTTTTTCTACAATACCTCTGTGAACGCTAAGCATACCTAAGCCTAAATTCAAGTACAAACTAAGAGAAAATATTGAGAGACATAATTATTTTACCTTTTTTTAAGTAACTGACTGTTTATAAGACTAACAAAAGTAACTGAAAAAGACATTCACAGTTAATAAAATTATCGAGGAATAGCCAGCAGTTTACCAAAATTTTAATTTATTGCATTACATATATCGCAAATAATGTCGTATCGGGATAATATCAACAATCCCTATTTTATAGCTGGGTTGAATCTTTCAGGAGATAAAGAGCACTCAGATAAAAGTTGAGTTTTCGTATTTTCCAGCAAAAAATATCAAGTAACTTGCCAGTAACCAAATTTCGGAGAGTAAGCCAATATTTACTCCCAATGAGTGAAATATGCAAGAAAGTACGAAAACGCAAAACCAGCAAGAAGTTGCTAGTTTTATGAACAGCTGATTAATTTGTTATTTCCGGATGCAATTTTTTTAGAAAACTAGTATTTTCCATCTTATTATAAATTTAAATAGGTTTATTTTGACAATTGCAACTCTAAAGGCGCCACAAAAAATTATTTTGTTAATGTGAATAACATTAAGTATCATGCCCAGGGTGGGAAAAAACTCGGAGTTCGAGCGAGCGAGCGAGCAAACTCCTACTCAATGCCTCGCATACAACGAGGCGCTCGCAGCTCGTACTCGTAGCAGCAATGAGGCGAGGCACAAGAAGTTTGGCTCGCTCGCCAAACGAGCGAGCGCTGCTTGTTTGCTCGCGCTCCTATTAAACGAGCGAGGCTGTTGTGAGTTCCCTCGCTCGCAGTGCGAGGCGAGTAGCTGTCTGCATACTCACTCTGCTAGGAAAGACGAGTGAGCGACGAGCGAGCGCTCCGAGTGTACTATACAACACATGCATTTTTGTGCATAAAAATGTGGGAATGTATGTCAATAGATTATGTACGAAAGTATGTTAATAATTGTATGTACATATGCATATATATATGTGAAGTATTATATTAGGGCAGCATTTAAAACAACAAATAAAATTGATTACATACATAAGCATAGATTATGGAATGAATTATTTTTTAGAGTTATATTCATACATGTGTACACACATAACATGCATATTTATATATGTTTGTATGTACGTATTTATGTATATATGCATTTATATATGTATGTACATATGCATGTATTTTGTCTTTACAGAGAAAAGTAAGTAACGAAGATATTATAATCGTTTGTGCCGCAGAAACAAAAAACAAGTAAGCACTTGCTAACACCCCCAAAATAGTTTTCTACTTGTAGCAGTTATGCTGTATACCTGAATGAAATATAGTCCTTGGTGAAAAAATTTATTTGTGGCCTGTTGTTCAAGGACATGTGTACATATGTATGCATGTATATATGGATATGTAGACATGGGAAAATTTGCGTAAACAAAGAATAGAGACCGGTTCGCATACAACTTTGGCGTTGCGTTGGCGTCGAATTTCAAAGCAGCCGTCCACATATCCAAAATTTGGCAACGCTAAGGCCAACACAAAGCAGAAAGATCGCTGCGTCGGTCGCCAGCTGTTGCAAATAAATAAAATTAAATGAAATGTTTTTTCCTTTTAATCAAATGAAGGCAAGAAATATAATTTTTCATGCAATTATTGATATGAAATATTAATTTATCTCTCGTTAATATGTTAATTTAGTGGCCAAAGTAGTCTCTGCCAAGCTTCATTGTAGAACGCATACTTTTAACTTGCGTTCTGTCAAACCAACGCCAACTACAAAGTCAACGCGAAAGTTCTATGTGGACCAGCCTTAATTATCAAATAGTAGTTTGTATTATCCTACATACATATATATGTATGGGGCCTAACCAGGAATATTCATTTGAAAATGCTGATGTCCTACTCATTTATGAAATGAAAGACAAAATAATGATTTTTATAAATATTATATTCTCATTTATACATATGTAACATAGTTACTTAGTCAAATTACTTAGTAATTACTTGTATGTAAGAATACAAAGACAAATTATTTATCAGAAGCATTGCCCCTTACATATTGAAAAAAAGTAATAAAAGCTCTCAAAAAAGCAAAATCGCTACAGCGAAAAGTGTTTGAAAAACCGCATAAATTCAAATCCGCATAAAAAAGAACCGCATAAAAAGAGACCTAAGTGTATAAGTTGAAATTTTATAAGAAATTATTGAACATTAAAAACATTATACCTACATAGATATGTATGCACATATGTGCCTACCTAGTAGATAAAACTGGTCCAAATAGCACGAATCTATTCTTCTGTGCATGAGAATATATACAAACATATGTGTATATACATATGTATGTATATACATATCTGCATGCGTGCATACAATCCTTTACTCGAAATTCTTAGTTGCTGCAATTTTTATCCCATACATTTTTGCCGACCAAACAACGCGTTTGCCTGTCTAATCTGCTTGCCTCATTTGCCTCGCTCGTTTACTCGCCTCGCTCGTCTGCTGCTGCAAATGAGTGCCTCGCTCGCAACGACGTCGTCGCGAGGGCAGAGCTAATGAGGCCCTCGTTTGCTTGCCACTCTACTCTTGCGCTGTCCTCGTTTGCTTACTCGCTCGCTGGCTGCTCAGCGCGTGCGCTCGTACTTAACGAGTGCTCGTTTGCAAACAGCCTCGCTTGTTGCTCGTGAGTTGCGCTAGCTCAGAGCAAACTAACGAGCGAGCGAGGGGCTAAAATGAGGCAAATCCGAACCCTGCTTGGTAGGCGGTATTTTCTCTAGTTATTATTTTACAAAGCTGTTGCTTTAATAACGATTTTGACGCATTAATATCGATGATTGGATTTCAGGGTTACCAAATCTCATTTTTGCCACAACGACGATTTAGGCGGTTTTGCAACTGGTCAATGGGCGGTTACGCAAAAACATCGACGATATGTTTTTTTTACCAAATGAGGGTCTTCATTTAAATGTTTACAAGGAAAATATTGGTCCTCATGCATAAAAAGTTAGCTTAAGCTCAGACTCAATTTTTGCACTGATGGGGTGAGCTCAAGCTCAAGAATTTGTACTAAAAATCGAGTCGGAGCTTAAGCTCACTTTTTATACATGAGGCCCATTGAGCTAGCTAATCCGAATTCTGTAAAAGGTAGACATTCAAATAAAATTATCACATCATGTTGCATCTTTATGATAAGTAATTGTTTAAAAAGGCAGTAAAAACATTATTTAAACCAATTAATAATGCTAACGTAATGTTCACATGATCACTTTTTAAATATAAAGGACCATTTTCGCTAGTAAGTTTAAAAACCTATCTGCCTTTTAAACACAATTTCTGTTCTGAGTTTGAAGGGCAGCTAGATTTTAAAACCTACCTGAGAAAACCGCACTAAATGTAATTTATTATTATTTTATGGAAAATGCAGTATTCATAGTACAAAATAGCAATATTTACAAAACTATCAAGATACATCCACCCATTTGAGCAGCATCCCGTTAGAAGACTCGTTTCTATTACTTGTAAATATACTTAAAACTTCCTCATACTCCATTTTTTGGGGTAAGACAGCATGGGACTGCAACATTCCAGCTACGCGTAGATGATAAATAAGAAACTCGAACACATACATTTCGGCGGGATGAGTGTAATGGAATGAGATGGAATAATTTGAACAGCAATCTAAGCCCTGAAAGTAAAGAGTTAAAACATTTTAAATTAAATCACTCTAAATACACAAATATGTAGTTTATGCTACAAAAATCCGTACCCATTCAACTGCGTATGGCGTTAGCCGCTCTATCCAATCCGCATTTACCAGAGTTTCATTGGCATTCATAAAATCATACAAGCGCAGGGGAAACATTTTTTGCTTGGTTTCGTTGGGCAAAATAAAACGTGAATTCAAAGGCATTGCACCCACATTCTGCAGGCAAATACTCATGCTATAGTCTTCAGGTAGTGCGTAGTTAGCAGGTGGACACAGCGTTAAGTTTGTGAAACCCAAAATAACTGCTCGACGAAGTGCTTCCTTGCTGAGAACATAACCGGCACCTCCTGACACATAGGTCTGAAATAAATAACCGAAGAGAACTATAGATATTTAAAGTAGTTTGAAAGGGCATAAAAAACCCAGTCAATTACCTTGTTGCCCTAATAGTATGTACTGATTGATTTTCTACGATTTTTACCTTTTCGTCGATTTACGAGATACATAAATGAACAAAATAAACATTACAGCCAAGGCACATTGAACAGGTAGTATCAGTAGAGCAGCCACGATTGAGAGAATACTAAGGTTGCGCCGATCTCGGACCGCTATTCCTCTCTTAACGAATTTGACAGAATCGTTGTTTGCATGACGTCACACTTGTGCAACTTGTTTATGCTTTCCTTGCAACATTTTTTCTTCCATTCTTGCTCACGTTTTGGCATTCCTCTCTCGCAATTGCAACAGTGTGACGTCACACAAAAGTTATTCTCAAAAATCCTCTCTGATCGGCGCAATCTTGTATTCTATCATTCTTGTAGAGCAGCTATATTTTTAATTTCTTCTCACAAAAATTCAAATTGTTAAAATCTATTTGCATGTGAAACCTGTTTCCATACAAATCAATTTACGGAAAGCAGCTTTTTGAACATTCGCCCAACTCAGCAGCACAACCTGGGCCTTGCAAAGGATGGATCAATGCTTCGAGGAGCAAACAAATTTACTATTTTTATTTTTTCCAATTTGCTTTGATTAAGAAGAAAAAATCAGAACAGAGTTTCACACTTTCGATACTAGAAGCAAAAATACACGCAAATGTTGCTTTTCCTCTAATGCTAATACCTGTTTGATATGCCTTGATTACAGCACATTTGTTGTTTGTGATTATAAACTAAAATCCCATTATTAAAATTTAATAATACAGCCTTTTTACCTGACCTTAAGGCTTAGGAGCAACAGAAATATAGATAATTGTAATTTTTACACACGGATGGACGCATCTTTGTGATATTTATGTGTAAAAGCTTAAACAGACGACAGCGTCGATCCGGATTAACTCGGACTTAATCCGGATCAACGGCAGTTATTTCCCGAGTGGATGCGGATCAACGCTGCCGTCTGTTTATGCTTTAACGCGCGTATCTTTTTTCAGACCAAAAACAGTATATTACTACGTGAAAATCCCTTTTCGCAGTATCTCCATTTAAAACTAGAAGCATTTTTTACAGTACACTACAGAAACAGTTTTCCAATAAAATCAAGTAATTCCTGGTATGGCACAGTATATTTTGCTTAGCTTAACCGAAAAAAAGCACTTAGGAGAATTTTCTTTACTACTTCAATGAGGAAGGTATCCGAATCTCTATGAAGCCAAATAATGGAGGAGCACTTACCACGTAGAAATTACTGCAAGCGAAATTTTTCCGAATGGTATCTAATTATCTCTATAACTACATAAAATGATAGCCGTTTTCGTTGTTCTGCGAGATGGGCAAAATAAATAAAAGCTTGTAAAATTAGGGTAAGTGCAGAGCCAGTGCAGGTAAACGTAATACTTTCATTGATAATTGATAATAGTTACACGATTTTTTAGGCAGGTATTGCTTATGTGCAGGTATATTGAATGCATCCATCGGGAGCAGTTTCCTAATAAATGTTCAAAATAATGCCGCCGATGCGCATTTTGGGGTAGGTATCTTAAATGTGCACTTAAGCATAAAGGAAGCAAAGAAAAATATACGGTACACATAATACCACCCCGAGACAAAATGATATGTCTAAAAAAGCCATGTAAATCCAAGTTTCTCACTTTAAACAAAAATTAGAATTCAAAAAATAAGCATATTCTAGTTTGAAGTGTCTACAAAATGCCGTTGACTTTCTATTTTTTTTTTTTGTTAATTTCGTCAAGAATTTTCTTCCATACAAAGTTACTATGTTCGACAATTTCTTTTTTAAGAAAAAAAATAATAACACCGTCTGCAAAAAAAATAACCAAAAATCACCGCGAATTCTTAGCCTATTGGAACTTGCACCTTAATAAGCTCCAAAACTACACTTGCAATTTTGCTAAATATCATGAATGCAAGGTTTTTTGTTGTGGCAGTTGTTTAATTTTAATACAAAGTTTGTAATGTGGATTTATATGGAGTTAAGTATTATATAATTAACTAAACTTTAATAAAAAATTATTAAACATTAAACAACCGAAAGGAAAATAATCAAAACTGGTCAAGATGCCGTGTCCCTATATATAAAATATAATAGTATATACATATGTATGCATAAATAAGAATTTGTAAAAACGTGTTTCCGCGAACACTGTGTATTAAAAAATTTAGACATCAAAAAAGTATAAATGCAGTATTTTGGAAAAAACCGTTTTGGAATCCAAAAAAAAATTATACTGCGAGAGAAAGTATAGATACGAGCGTTAGGTATGTGGTTAAGCTGTACACAAAGATCTTTATGATTAGGATGATCTTTTCGGCAGCACATCTGTACAGGATTCCGGGAAATAATGGTTCTGCAGACATGTTTGTTTAAAAAAATACGTAAATATATGTTTCTGTATGTATGGTATATGGGGTATGGAAATATCCCTTTTCCCTTACAGCAAACCTTTTAGTATGGGCAACGATGATATTTTTCAAATAAGGCAGATCGGAATATGCGTTCTCTGGGAAGATAATTCCCATAAATAATACTTGTACCATGATGCAAATCTAGAAAAACCTTTTTAAAATTTTTACTTTTTAATTTTTTTTTTTTTAATATTTTGTCATACGAGATTGGAAATACCCATATGCAAACATTTGAATTAAAGTATAAACACAATCAAATCGCTCAGAGAAATTCGTCGGAAGAAAGTTCGCTGCCAGAATTAAAACACACTGCAGTATATGAGACTGCTCACAACCAAAGCGACGACGAAGCTCGTCTGACGAAATTCGGCAATAGATTTATTTTTAATTTTGCCGCTGCTGCCGTCATAAAATCAGCTCTCAGTGGAAAAGTAGCTTTGTTTCTAGCAGATAATTATCAGCAAGAATCAGAATGGCTAAATTTGGTGTTTCATCTTTTCGCTTTTGTATTTTTAACCGACTTCCAAAAAAGGGTAATTTCGATAATTCTTCTTGCATCGGAAAGGTAGTATCTCAGAGGTGGTCCCATACTAATCTGGTTCAGATCCGATCATTGGATCATGAAATATATATATATACAATATATTTTTATGAGAATTGAGGTCGGTTTTGTTTTTTGCTTAAAAATTACTTGTTATATTTTTTTGTTTTTTGTCATTAAATTGATGCGAATTTCGTATCTATTCTGTTTAACTGGGCGAAGTGTTGCGGCGAACATCACCCAGCGGCATCGCTCCGACCAAGGAAATTCGCACAGCGATTTGGTTCTGTTTATACTTTTAAGTGAAAAATGATTTTTTTTTTTTTTTTAATGATTTTCCATTTTTTTTTTTCTTCCAGCCATTTGTTTTGTGCTTAGTTTGTGTATCTCTTTCTTTCCACGATGCATTTCGTTTGTTATTTCCTCTGCAACTACTGAACGAGTGTACTGTACGATCATGGTATGGTACAATAATTACAGGTCTTCCCAGAAAGTTTTGCTTCACATCGAAATTCGTGCTCCCTTATTTTCATTTTGACGTAGTTCAATGTTGATTCTTTTACTTTTATTACAACTTTTATTTAACTTGGTCATCCCGCGGAAATTTCCAATCGATTTTAAACTAACATCCCGACAAGGTGGAGACATAAAATTTTCAGCATAGTTCCAATCACGATGACAATGCAATTTAAAATATAAATGAATTCCCTATATGGTCCAGGGGCCTTGATACAAAGGCGGTCAAAACATAGTACAATGTATGGCTAACAGAGCGTAATTTGCCAAAGAACGTTAAACCACTATAAAATTGTTAAAGCTGCCGGCGGTAGTAAGTAATAAGCAGGGAACGGATTTTTAGGACATAAAAACTATAAAAAAGGCAAAACAAAATAACGAAATAGGCTGGAAAAGGCAAAATAAAATAGCGAAAAAGGCAGGAAAGGGCACTAGCTATTGCAAAAAAGGCAAAAAAAGGCAAAACAATATAGCGAAAAAGGCAGGAAAAGGCACTAGGTATTTCAAAAAAAAGCAAAAAAAAGCACCAAAAAGACAGAAAATACGAAGAACAATCAAAAAATACATTTATTTTAGGAATGTTTATATTACAAGTTATATTGCGTTCAAATTGGCCCCATTTAACTTGTTAAATGAAAGAGCTTTTTGGAAAACACAATCGTCCACATTGAACATTGAACATTTGGAGTTTACTTTGACGTTTGTTTGATTACCAAAAAAAATTAAAAAAAAAAAAATTCAAAATCAAGTTTTTGTGTTTCAATTTGTTTTGTGCGAATGTCTGCTTCATGATATTAACGCATACGGATTACTTACAAACCTCAAAATGTTTAGTTCGTATGCACTATTTATCTCTGCGTACGATGAGACCTCATGGGAAATAACTAATTACCGTATTTGCCTCTTTTTTGGCGGGCAGACATGCCAACAATTTTGATATTTTTAGATAATTTTTACTTTTTAATATTTTTTAGAATATAAATTTTTTCAACGTTGTCGTGTCAAATGAAAGCTTTTGGGTCTTTCTGATTGGCCGGAGCAGAAAGCTTTCTGATACAACTCTGCGCTGAACTGGTTTTCAAACGAGTTAAATGATTTAACTGGTTCAATTTTCCAACAACAATTGCATGCGATTTAACTTGTTTATGAACATGTTTTGATCATTTAGTTAGTTGTAGTCACATTGAAAGGGAAATTTAATACTTTTCAATTCATACTCTCTGTAATTCAGTTAGAAAAATACTTACATATGGATGTCTTTCCCTGTATTTATTTACCTAAAGTTCCAAGCCCCAATTTCGTTGACATTTCAACGGGAACCCGGTCCTTTTTTAATGCTCTTGTAAGCATTTTTGATATCGAAAGATAAGAGTACATACGGAATTTCTGAATTTTCCCCAAAAGAATAAGTAATAAAACTCATGGCCAGTCAAAAAATTTTAGGAGCATAATGGGTAAGTTGAATTAAAGTCTAAATCACACTATAGTCGATGTTAAAACATCGCTGAAACTGGCATCGATGTATCGTCAATTTAGCGATTTTAGGAAATTGTAAACATCGATGGCAAACATCGAATTTTGAACCGATATTATCGTTGCTTCAAAAATATCGATGCATCGTTTGCATCCATGTGTATATATGGAATCAGGGAAAGCTAAATCGTGGACATTCTTAATCGAATATACTCTATCTCTTTAGCAGAAAAAAAGGCAATTTCCATAAAATCCGTTCCCTGGTAATAAGTATAGTTGCAGGCGCTAGTAAGAGATACACTGGAAATCAACATCAACCGTGTTTAAATTGCCAAACTGTTAAGTTTTAAGCACTTCTGTTAAGAATTACATTATTTGGTTTCCTCACACAGGAAGTTATGGAAATACGGAGATACAATAAAAGCCACACATATTTCATATGCATGCATCTTAAAAGTGTACATACATACATAGCGTCGTTTAAAGTACAAAACCGCGTAACTGACATTGGCTGCCAAAAATTGGATTTGCTCACACAAGCTCTTGGCTCAATCCTTATCCATTCGTCCTGAAATATACTATCCAGATATGCGATTTCTTTATAAAAAAGGGGAACCATTTTGAAATATGAGTGTTTTTACTCTCTAAAAAATAATTTATGCAACCCCACATACGTGGTTTTGCATTTTGCTGATACGCGGTTTTGCACTTTAAACGACGATAGGTACTTCTACTATCACGCAGGCGAAAAAATTTCAGTTAGTACTATACTTAGCTATGAAGTGCCATATTGAGGATAAAACAGTGCCAAATAGAAAAATAAAAGTGCCAAAAAAGCTGTCATTCTTTTCAGTTCTTCTCATTTAGCATTAAAATTGTGTTTCTTCTGAATACTGTTAAGGCGATGTGGATAATGCTGCATAGTCATGTGCCATGGTATGTTAAAGGTAAACGGAAAATAATTGTCTATAATTAACATACCGAAATGGTCAAAAGGCTTAGGGCCCGTTGTTTAATGTCTGATTAACAAAAATCGGAAGTAGAATCTCCGGTTGAATACAACAACTGCTTTATCGCTCACATGTTATATGCATGACGAAGAAATCGTCGATAATGATGTATGATGGTGATAAGCAGGGAACGGATTTTATGGAAATTGCCTTTTTTTCTGCTAAAGAGATAGAGTATATTCGATTAAGAATGTCCGCGATTTAGCTTTCCCTGATTCCATATATACACATTTGATGTTGCCTTTTTTGCCTTTTTAAAGATATTTTCCTTTTTTGACGTGAAACTTCTTAATCGAGTTCGGAGATGGTTGCGTTAAATATTTAACACCAAGCCATAAACTCTGTATCGTTCGTTCGATTTTTAAAAATGACCTGTCACATGAAAGGCCTTGTCCTTCGGGTGTGCAACGTAGCTTTAGTTCCATGAAAGGAGTTGCCACATGTTAGAAAATCGAATTCAAAATTTCTCTGCCGCAGAGGGTTGCGTAAAATATTTAACACCACGTCATAAAATCTGTATCGTTCGTTCGATTTTTAAAAATGAGGTGTCACATGAAAGGGCTTGACCTGCAGATGTGCAGTATGGTTTTAGTCTTTTAAAGGGTTGCCATATATACGAAAATCAAATTCAAATTATTTATTAATATAAACGAATTATCCCAATATGGGTATCAAGAGAAATGGTTTTGAATAAGTGNTCAACGTCTGGTTAACACTAAACTCCGGTTAAACGTAGTTATCGACGTTACCGACTCCCTGTTGTATGCATGGAGTCGAAGACGTCGATAACGATGTTTAACCGCAGATTAGTGTTAACCAGACATTGAGGAACCGGACATAAGATAGATCAGTGATGGAAAAGTAGGCACAATAGTGCCATTTTTGGCACTTTCAATCTCAGAGGCACTTTTGGCACGATTCGTCATGTTTTGGCACTATCATAAAATACAGAAATTTAAAATAAAAGGCCATTATATAACCAAAATCCACATACCACATTATAGATTAAAAAAATACAAAAAGTGAAAATTAAAAGAGCTAAAAAATTAAAATGAGTGAGAAATATTTACAAACCGCTGAATTCTATTGTTAATACGCAGACCGAAAAGTAATTTTTCGCAAAAGCAAGCTTTTAATTCAGAATTTTTAGAAAGATTCTAAGTTTTCAGTTTTATAGTCCATTAAATAAAAGTGCAAGTTTCTGCAATATCCCGATAATTTTTGATATTTTTTTTTTTCTGACGTTGTCATACATTTTCATCCATTAAAAAATTTTCGAATACATTTATATGGAAAAAATGCATGAAATTTAAAACTTGGAATCTTCAAAAAAGTTCTGAATTCAAAGTTGGTTGTTGCGAAAACCTGCTGAATTTTTATAATTTTTGTACAAAGTTTGAAATGCCATTTGGGTAGGTACATACGTATCGTCACAAGACACGAATAAGGGGCGACTCATAACATAGTTGACGGCGAAGAAAGACGCGTTAAAATATTTGACGGCGAAGAAAGACCCGTAAACTTATTTTCGCGGTCGACTAAGTTTGCGGGTGTAACAGTATGTAAATTCCCCAAAGAGTATTTAACGAATGATGCTGAAGTGGCAGTCCTTGGCCAGGTATAAATCTGTGTTTAAGCGTCTTTCTTCGCCGAAGTTTTCCTTAAGCGTCTTTTTTCGTAAACATTTTTTTACGAGTCTTTTTTCGCGGTCAAAACACTAGCGCGCCTTTATTCGTGTGTAGTGGCGATATATGTATTGTGTTTATTAAATTATGAATTAGACTTTTATAAAAAATCATTCGAAAAATAATCAATGAACAGAATAGGCGAAACTGGTCAAAATGTCTCACTGCCATTATTTCGGATATAGGTCCATATGTACATATGTATATGTGTGTAAAAATTTCATATACCCATATTTCGGACTATTTCCCCTCCGTAATTGGAATTCAGGGTAATTTTACTATGAATTTATGTATATGTCTAAGGAATCCTTTATAAAAGTGATTTACTGTAATAATTTAGCTAATAAATAATTATTATCTTATTACATTTAACGAGCAACAGCGAGGTTCTCGGAAACGACTCTAACGATTTTGATGAAATTTTGTACACAAATAAAGTTTTGGATTTTAAGGTTATCTGAATAGGCACTATCTCCGAGAAGACTCGTGTAAGGTTGCCACCTATTCAAATTTAGTTACAAATTAACTAAAACATCATAATATGGGTATTAAATGGAATAGGTTACCACCTATTTTGAATCGCATATTTATTTAACTTTTTTTTTAGAAAAAAAGGTAAAATATTACTGTTCACGGGTATCAAGAGCAGGTTCTTAAACGATCCTTCCCCTATATACAAAATGTTATCCCTTAGATAATAGTGTAAGGCTGCCAACTATTTTCGATTCTACACAATTTATCTAAAGCATCGCAATATGGATATCAAATGAAAGGTATTGTTGAGAACTTTGGTCAGAAAATATTTTCCATTAGGGTTGCCACCCTTCAACATATGTAATACAAATTTTTATTTTGTTAATTTCAATCGGCATTTTTTATGTATACACAGTATGTACGTATACGCTCAAGATATGTACTATTAATTCCAGCTATTTCAGAATAGGGTTGCCACCTAAATTTTGGAGTAAGAAATTTACTTAATAGATATCGAAATTCAAATTTTTCTTTTTTTCCAAAATATTTTTTTAAAGCTATCCAAATCTTGAAAGCTTTAAAAAGTATATGCACTCCGGGCAAAGCTCGGTCAACCTGGTACTATTACTTCAGTGTATTTAAAAATATATTGTTCTTATAACGCCTTAAACAAATTTAATTTTGTGGCACTTTCATCTTGTTTTCGGCACTATTTATGAAGACCATTTGGCACATCCCTGAGATATACCTTGTTTATACCTACGCAAAACCCGCATTAACAAAAAACCGATTTGATTCTAAACATATTTCTTTCTAATGTTTATTCCACAGTCTTTATAGCGAACTCAATAAAACCGTATTCAAAAGTAAAAAACTCCGTTAGTTTTATTCGACATTTATTTAATAATAAATTTGCGTGGTGGACCGAAATGGAAGCCAACAGTAATACAAATTTATTATAATAATAATCACAATTAAAAACGGGCTATATAAAGAAAAAAACAGACAAATTTTGATTTCATGTTAAATGAATTATTTGTTTATACGGGTTTTCTAACCGATGTGAGAAATAAAAACCGATTTGAAAACAAATTCGAGTCAATACACTTTTCGATTTCAACGCGTATTGAAAATTTGTTTATGCATCTGCTTTGAATCACACCGAACTGAGTCACAGCGCTTTATGTGTCGGTATAAACAAGGTAATATATAGATTTAAAGAACTTTTCTATTTAAAGCAACAAAATAAAAGCTTTATACTTAGGAGCTGTTTTCATTATAAAGGCTTGCTCAAGCAGCAGCGGTATACCTCCGTATGGCATGTTTACTCTTGTATATGCATACATTTGTATGTACCCAGTAGAAATTTTATGCATACGACATCGCTGTTGGCATGAACTTGCTGCTATGTATACATGCCAGTATAACGAACCTTCATTTCTATTTAACACGTGCTGCTGCTTGAGCAAACCTTTATAATGAAAACAGCTCTTATAAAGATTTTATTTTGTTGCTTTAAATAGAAAAGTTCTTTATATGTAAAGTCTATCTTAAACTGACGAATTTTCATCTAAGCTAAGGGCCCGTTGTTGACGTTGAAATTTTAGCAAAAGTCATTATAAACCATTTATGAAATTGAAAACGAAAAACATGGAGCGCATGCAATACAAATCATTAGATTTAATTGACAATAGTCAAACTACATAACATAGACCAAAAATTTCTACAGAGAAAGTACAAATTTGAGATCGATTTTAAGTGGTCGTTATTCATACAGTGACGAGCAAAACTGTAACATGATTAAACACTTTTTATTTCAGCCACCGTTATCTTTCATAGTTCTAACGACTTTCATACTTTTGTTGTATATTCTTATTGGTACACCCCTACTCCCTATCTCACAAAGATTTGAAGTCAATCCAACAGCAATAATAAAACCAGCAGGCAAAAATGTAAATTAAGGCAGCTGTTGCACTTTTGCACTCACTCTCAGTTTTGCATTTTACAGTTATCTTTTCATTAGTTGGAAGTCAGATGGCTTTTTCCTGTATTGTAATTTATTTAAGAAGTGGTTACCAGTAAATTATATGGTTAATCAGGAAACATAAATGTAAATAATAGATTTACTGCGAAAAGGCGGGACCGCAGGGAAAGTGGCAAAAAATTGTGGAATTTGCCACATGAAAATGTTAAGACTGAGAAAAAATATAGCCTAAAGTGTTACTAAGGACAAAGGAAGTCTGTCAAAATATATTACAGTCCGATATCTTGTGAACTAAGTAGCAAGTAGCGCTGCAGGCACTACTACAGAAGCGCTTAAGGTATTAAAATTGAATGCAAATCAGTAGATAGTGAGGCGAAAAATTGCCAAATTGAGCACAATGGATCATAAAAGAAGAAAAAAGCAAATTTGATCAAAATACATGTGCGAGTGTGGCAGCGTTTTGCTGCATCGCACGAAAACCGGACCGTTGCCTATTGGGATATGTTAGGCCTTACAGAATGCAATAAAAAACACATTTTTAAGATTTAATTGAGGGTTATTTGGTCTGACAAGACTAAATTAATAGCTTTCAATCAGATGGCCGGGCATGGTATTGGATCAAAGGCCCAAATTAAGCCTAAGCGCATCATGTAAGGCAAACTGTGAATCACAGTGGTCGGTCAATAATAGTTTGGGGTTGTATTTCAAAAATGTTGTTGATCCGTTTGTACGCATTATGCGTAAGGAACAGTATCTGTTCATATTTTAACAAAATTTGCAAGATGTAGTCGAAAAAATTAGAGTTTCTGCTGAAAAAGCAACCAAAACACACTGCACATGTTCGCAAAGACTGGAACAAAAGCAGAAATTTGCTAATTTGAAATGACCTCCACAATCCGAGGACATGAACCTCATCGAGAATTTGCGAAATCAACTAAAAGCGCATCTTACTAAGTATCCAAGTCCGTCCAATGGAGTACATGAGCTGTGAAAGCACACCAAGGATATATGGGAGGCTATACCTCCAGAATTTTTGCAGACATACACATTAGGTATGCCAAATTGCAACCAGGAACTAAATAAAGCAAAAGCATACTGAACATTGTGTTAATAATTCTTTTTTTTTGTGAAAATTGTCAAAAAGTTATTAAAAATATATGAGTGCAAAACTGTAACATTTGCCTTAATTTACATTTTTGTCTGCTGGTTTTGTTAATGTTGATGAATTGACTTCAAATCGTTATGACAGAGGAAGCAAAGATGTACCAATAAAAATATACAACAACAGTATGAATGTCGTTAGAACTTGGAAATATAGCGACAGCTGAAATAAAAAGTGTTACTCCATGTTACAGTTTTGCTCGTCACTGTATATCCACATTCATACATACATATATTACCCTTCATATCAATTCAGGTCTATTACATGCACCCCACGCTTTTCATTTTCAATCTCATAAATAGTTTGTAATGACTTCTGCTAAAATTTCAAAATCAAAAGTTATCTATACAAATTCTATGGGACTAAGAAATAATATTTTCTACTTTTTAGTCTTGTCTGTACAAAATTTTGCAATAGATATTAAAATAATTAAACTTGCAGTGAAAGAGAACAGAAGACTATGCAAGTAAAATGTTGTTTGCTCACGTTTAGTATAAACATACATATGTACATACATACATATAGCAGCAGTTAATTTCATTTAAAGAAATGGCGTGGTGTCCATTTCCGCTGTAGCGTATGTAAATAGTGCATATATTTAGGCGCTATATTTAACTTCTTCTGTATCTCCTTGATATGATGCCTACAACGAGGTTCATATCTAGACTAGGTTGATAGTTTTGCTACATTTATAGTATAATTGGTGGTCTGGACATACAACATTGCAAGTTGTGAAAAGGGTTGTAAAAATCGTTGTAAACAGCTGTTAAGTGAAGATCACACGATTTGTGCATTTGTACAGATTTGTACATTTTGACAGTGAAAGAGTGGTGTTGTTTAGAAATTTCAGTTCAGCTCCATAAAAGCATTTCCGAACAACACCACTCTGTACCTGCCAAAATGTACAAATCGAGTGATCCCTGCTTAAGATGAAGACAAACATAGGGAGCTGCGAAAACGATAAAATTTAAAGCCAACATAAGTGCATAGCATACAAGTTAACATATGTAGTGGAATGTGCCACTTGACACCAGCAACAATAGCAGCAGCAGCAAATGTACAAACGTGGGAACGAATGCATGTACGTGACTAAATGTGAATACAAATGCAGCGTCAACAATTTCGCTTTAAGAAATTAGAAAATTAGAAATAGAATTAAGAGGTAGCATAGGTAGATGAGAATATGAATATTCAAATAAAGCCAGTCTTGATTTGAAAACCAAAAATATCTGGCGCCCACACGGGAAATCCACAAATACCCACAGGACATAAAATCCTTATAGAGAAAAGGGTATAAGGAGCAGCCGGTGATTCAGGAAATACTCACGGGATAATTTTGGAAGCAAGCGGCAGAGGGCAGTAATTTATTCAATGTATTTCATTTTAGTCTAAGTCAATGCATTATATTTAAGAAAACATTGTGAACAAGTAAAAACTGCTTCTACAATTAAAATTGCAGTATAAGTTAAGTGAGTTATATCAACTTTTTTTTTGGATTTAAGGTATCCTAGTGGTGTAGTGAAAAGTGAAAAAAACAGTTGTTAACAAAATGACTGAACAAATCGCAGCAACAGTACAAATGGCTGTAGAAACGGCATGCACGGCCGTAATGAGTAGGATGGCATCAATGATGCAATCGCATGAACAGGCAAATAGTGCGTTAAGGGAAAAAGTAGACGAGTTGACGGGACTAGTATATACATTGCAACTAAAGGCCCCCAAAATCGTTGCCTACCAACCTATTGAGGTGAATAACCCAGACGGAG